TAAGTCTGAAAGCATGAAAATGTTCCTCTACTTCCTGTGAGATCTTTCAGATTACCATGTTCAACTCCCATAAGTACTTTCAGTACTTTGATTTTTTGCATGTTGGCTAGTTTGAAGAAAATATTTTTCCCAATTATTTTATGAGCATTTTCTTGATGGTATAAAAAAGAAACAGATTTATTAAAAGATTTCTTTCAGAGAGGTCGATGTTATCTCTAACAGCACTAATCTAGATGAAGTGTTAATACTCAAAAGTGCTTTCACTTTACAATAAATCTGATTCCTTGTGTTGATGAAACGGACTACTGGCAATTTGTCTTATTGTTTAAGGTCTGCCATTAAAAATCAATGATCTTATGTACAGGAATTGTTGTGTAGACATAATTCTATGTAGAATGTCTCGCTAATCACACATCAATTTGAAAGGAAAGTGCTTACAAAAAGAAGAGTCAGAAAATCTTAATTTAGTACGTTTTTATAAGGATGATGTAATTTTCTCTTGATAAAAAAATTAACCTTATATTGCCTTGTTTCCTCATCGATTATTTTTATTAAGGTTTTTGTATTTTACAATAAATTTTATAAAAAAAATTCTTAACTAACAACCATTTTTAAGCGGTTAGCTTCGCTAACCGCTTTATGGCATGTGTCCGATTTTTATCGACACCGGAAACTTCCATAAGGCGCTACCTATCGACAACGGAAACTTCAACAAAGCCTCTACCTAGTACCTATGATTTGTTTCTAACACATATAACATATGTTAAATAAAATCAAGACTATCAAAACAACATAATCTTTCGGTTTTTAAATTTTTTTCTGATTTTGTTTGTCAATGAAATAAATTTATAATTGTTGTATTAAAAAAAAGTTTATGTATAGGAGCATTTGGTGTCGAGATTAAATTTCCGTGACATCAGCTGATGGCGATCGGGCCCTGTGACGAAATTCGAAGTCAGCATGAAGTATAGCTGATAACATTATCAACGCGTTAGATTTAAACTTTAGGAAGAAATGTATAGCGAGAAATATCATTTTTGAACCCAATGTTACACGAAAACCAGTAGGCATTTCCGATTTATGTGTTAAATTGAAGCCTGAATGGAACAGGTGGTCAAAATGGCATTGGACACCTTGTGTATTTATATATAGAGGGGGTAGAATGTTTCGATATTTGGCTAATTAAGAGACTTACTGATAAAAATTCAGGTGTCTGTGATTAATTATAAGGCACCCCTCATGAACAATAAATATTTGACCGAATTATGCTACTGGGCACAGGGAGGACGGGTTAATTACTGGCTAAAGGGGTTGAAGGTTATTACCGACTGCAAAACATCGGAGACTCTCTCGATCGAGTTTCGTTTTCCAAAATATTTAGGCATCCCTTTAATTAACTTAAGTAATACTAGTACACGAAGAAAGCCATTATATAAAAATACTGAATACATCTGTAAGTTGTACAGTTATGGATTACTTCCATAATGAAACGTTTGTTTTCTTCTCCTTTTTTTCTCAATTGAAATTATTTAAAAGATGATAAAAGCTTTGTTTCCAGGGATAAATTCTGTACTCAGTCTAATTATTACAAACGATTTTAAACGATCACATTTTTATTTTTAAAAAAAAAAATAATGGGAGCCTGAAAATACTAAAATTAATTTTAAACAAGAGGACCATGGGCCACATCGCTCACCTGAGTACTGTAGCTTAGAAAAAGTAGAAATTGGTTTATTATTGAAAAGTTAAAATCCAAAAGTAATCCCATGATCAATCATGGATTTGCTCTTCTTCAAAGAATTTTCCCATATATTTCTATGTAAAACTTTGGTCGGCCATTTTGGCCCCGCCCTACCCCCTGGGGTCATGATTTGAAAAAATTTGAATCTACACTACCTGAAGATGCTTCCATATAAATATGATGAATAATGGCTTTGTCATTCTTGAGAAGAAGATTTTTAAAGAATTTTCCCATTAATTTCTATGTAAAACTTTGGTCGGCCATTTTGGCCACGCCCCACCCCCGGGGGTCATGATTTGAACAAATTTGAATCTTCACTACCTGAGGATGCTTCCATATAAATTTGATGAATTATGGCTCTGTCATTCTTGAGAAGAAGATATTTAAAGAATTTTCCAATATATTTCTATGTAAAACTTTGGTCGGCCATTTTGGCCCCGCCCTACCCCCGGGGGTCATGATTTGAACAAATTTGAATCTTCACTACCTGAGGATGCTTCCATATAAATTTGATGAATTATGGCTCTGTCATTCTTGAGAAGAAAATTTTTAAAGAATTTTCCTATATATTTCTATGTAAAACTTTGGTCGGCCATTTTGGCCCCTCACTACCCCTGGGGGTCATGATTTGAACAAACTTCAATCTACACTACCTGAGGATGTTACCCCATAAGTTTCATCTTTCCTGGCACAGTGGTTCTTGAGAAGAAGATTTTTAAAGAATTTTCCAATATATTTCTATGTAAAACTTTGGTCGGCCATTTTGGCCCCGCCCTACCCCCTGGGGTCATGATTTGAACAAACTTGAATCTACACTACCAGAGGATGTTACCCCATAAGTTTCATTTTTCCTGGCACAGTGGTTCTTGAGAAGAAGATTTTTAAAACATGCCACCAAATTTTCATTAATTCCCAATTATCTCCCCTTGAATGAGGGCGTGGCCCTTCATTTGAACAAACTTGAATCCCCTTTACCCAAGGATGCTTTGTGGCAAGTTTGGTTGAAATTGGCCCAGTGGTTCTTGAGAAGAAGTCGAAAATGTGAAAAGTTTACAGACAGACAGACAGACAGACGGACAGACGGACGCCGGACAAAATGTGATCAGAAAAGCTCACTTGAGCCTTCGGCTCAGGTGAGCTAAAAATTGGAGAAAAAAATTTAATCGGCATTCGATCCTTTTCTAAAAATCAGCCGATATAAAATATGCACAGAAAAAAAGAGGCACGAAAAATCTTGACGATAAACACAAATTGAAAATTATATCTAATGAATGATTATTTTTGAAAGTTTGCTAAATTCCTGTGCAAGGTATAAGTTGTAAAAATACTTTTTAAATTTGAATTTGTCCAATTCGTTAATTATCATTTTGAGCCTTTGAGAAAAAAAAAAATTAAAATACAGATGCTTGCAGACATATTGATAGAAATTCGCATACTTGTTTTTACTATTAAAAAAAAAAAAAAAACAATGTATTGCTTTTGTGACATATTGAAGAAAGTGACAATGATACCTAGGTAATTCTTGCAATGGACAATTAAATTGTTTGTTATACACTGACTTTTAGTGAACCTTTGAATTTTTAAAATACTAGCATTGATGGATTAAACAACAACTTTCCTTTTCACCCGGTTTTTTTTTTTGTTTTTTTTTTACAATATTTCATGAAAAATATTTGCCAAATACTCAGTATATGTTCGTTTATACATATCGTGCAAGACTCTTTTTTAAATAATTGTCAAATACCATTTACTTATTCGAACGTTTAATTGTATGATCAGTCAATAATGTACATTTCTTAAAACTTGATTATCTTGTTTACTTGTCTTTCTTCCTGTGAGAGAAATAGTTCATAATATTAATAAACAGATGTACTCAGTATCTGTATCAAAATACAGAATGAACAGTGATCGGTCTCAAAAGAAAACGGATCCTTGAAAGTTCCGGTGCCTAGGAGAAGTAAGCATCCCCAATGACAGGTCACACCTGCTGACCCGCAGTGAGCCTACGAAACTGAAGCTCTCTGAAATTAGTTAATTCTCTGCTCGTCCATCCGTTTTTCTCAGACTAGCCAGCTAAAGATCTATGTACAGTACTCCAAATCAATTAATCTAAAGAATTTGAATTATCATTTTATTTTCTTTCTGAGTTGTTTGCTATAGTAGCCTTTACAGTTACCTAATTTCAGAATCAATAGAGCATGAAAGCCAATTAAATTTGCAACATCAACATAATTTTTTTTTCGTTCTGAGCACTTTTGGACGCCACCAATGGAGACAATTAGGGAGAAATTTTTGAAATTGAACTTCCTGTCTTTCAAACTGAAAATCTCAGGTTGATATTTTGAAACAAACATTTGTGACATCAGTCTGGGATGTTATTGGTTATACCATTTAGTTAAGTACTACAAAATTCAGTGTGTCTGCTTCTTCGCTGATGACACTGGAAAAAGATATGCATGCCTACTTTAATATCATGATTCAATGCATTTTTTGTTCTTGTACACTGTACATATTCGATGAAAGCATGCTAACCGCTTTTCAGTACTTTCAGTACTTTGATTTATTATAAGTTTTTGACACCCATTAACATTCTTAATTGCATAGATATTTCAATTTTAAACATGATATATAACACAAACATAATTTTATTTTTTCAATTATTCTTTGGTTTCAAAACCAATCTAAAATATTCCTCGAGTCGAGTGGTGATTTTCTACACAAAATACAGCAAAAAGGTTCTAGCGAATAAATAATGCTAGAGGTTTATAGTTCGGTAAATTTCATAAATTTTATCAGAAACCACATATCCCTCTTTGAAAATGTTTAAGTTGGAAACAAACAACGTTTTAAAAAAAATTCATTAGTACCCCAAAAAATTTTTAAGGGATTTTTTTTCTTTTGAATACCACCATAGACATAAATGTATTGATAAAGAAAAGCGAGAAAAATGGATTCAGAGAAAAAAGTCATTGAGAAGTGAGTCAACACTAATATAGACTGTCATTAAAAACTGTAATGCAGTCATTGTATCCTTTGTTGTTGTTTTTTCATTTAACAAAAAAAAATAAGATTCAACTTTATAAGTATATAATGAAATAAGCTTTATATTTTAAATTATACGAATCACTTTGATAAGAACAAGAATAAATTGTAATTAACTGTTTAATTTATTTTAAACTTCCATAGATAATACTAATTAATTTTGCAAAAAACAAAAAAAAAAAAAACAAGTGGATAAAAACATAAAAATATTACTCACGCATATTGAAGTTTCAAATTGTAGTCCTTTTAATCAGACAAACGTTTCCCATAAATACCTGTGGATTCTGTCTTATATCTATGTCGACTCTCAATGAAGTAACGATTTTTTTCTTGACACGTGCGTAAACTGTGATGAATCCTCTGATCCTTTTTCCCTATCCCCACAACATTTATCACAAGTCTCGACTCCAGTAGCAAGTGAGAATATCCTCAATAACATGTAGCACGAGATTACTTCAACTGTTATATATTGTTGTCAATTACCTCCAAAAATTTACAACCAGGAGCGTCCCTTGTGTATATTTCCCTAAATTGTAACATATGATGTCAAATATTTTTTTAATCAAATTACCATAGTCGTGAGCGAGGAATACATGACCAGAAAGGTCTGATTTCGTCTAATTTCAAGACTACAAGTTATTATATATGTACTACTGTCATGACAATAATGTTACATTTTGGATCATAGGAGTTGTCATCGGTTCTCTCTTTAATGACATTATCTTCCACAAACAGTAAAAAGTCATCTGTTGACGTTTGACGCCTACTTTAAATGTGAATGTTTACAAGGATAGTCTTCAAAAATAAATAAGTTTTGGCGGGCGCTACGTCATTTTGATTAATAGAAATGTGTACAAAAGCTCTCAAAATATTAATATATCTATTTAAACTAAAAATACCCTCAGAAGAATTTGGAGAGTTTAAGTACAGCAATGTAATCATATTCTCAAATTTAATTTAGCAATGTTATATATGAGTGTAAATTATCTATATATCCAAGTTTAATCGAAAAAGATGTCGGTATTGTTATGTTTTAAATCCTATTTATTAAAAAAAGAAATAATGTTGGTGATATATACATAACAGTGTTATATTGCTCATACATCTTTTTAATCTAGTTTAGTGCCAAGAATATTTCATATATCATATATCTAATATATAGATATTTAAAGAAATTAATGAAGTATTGGAACTAGTCTCCTACCTCAGAGAAATCAGAAATCCATAAAACAATACAAAATAAGAGCAGAGCAAACACCGACTTACAAAACATCAGAGGAGGGATCGGAAGCCATGGAGGTGTGCATCCCCTGTCGAACTGTCACAGCCGCTGTGGGCTCCTTGTCATAATCGGGAAATAACAGAAAAATCCGTCGACAATTCAGTGTGCACATCTAATTAATGGACTAACAATTAGTATGAAAAATGTCAGGTAACAATTGACTCAATGATAAATTGTATTTGCTAAAAAGGTCATTGTTACGACCATAGAACTTACGAAATGATAACTTTAATCAAGACCGTTGATTTTCTTGTTTCATGAAATCCATGAAATAGGTGAAGAAAACAATCAGTGTTCTATTTTTAAAAAAAAAGAAGGGGGGGGGGGCTATACAATTCTGTGAACAGGGCATACAACGACCACGTTGAAATCTCAAAGGTGGAGTTTTGTCAAAGAGGAAAAAGTGTTTCTTTTCAACTAGTCGTATCGGCGACAATCCTGTATATTGATCAATTTAACGGAATAATATGATTGATTGATTGGTTGTATGTTGTTTAAAGTCTCTCTCGAAATTTTCACTCATATGGATACCCCACCACTTGCCGGAGGAGAGCTGCAGATTTTTTCCTATACTCATTGGGGGTCTTTTTCGTGCCAGCCCTTCTGCGACACGGAACCTCAGTTTATACAGTCTCATCCGAAGGAACGGTCTCCACGTCCCAAAGTGGGATTCGAACCCGCGACGTAAGGATCAACTCCTTACTTCGCGACTCTAGAGCAGACGATCTAACCACGGAATAATATGTAATCAAAAATAGTACTAAAATACTAGTATGTCAGTCCAAATAACCAAATCATGGACTTTATCTACACACAATGTCATTATAATGGACGCAATTGATTTACAAAATGCCGACTTTAACATAGGTTGTCTAAATCCCTGTAACATCAAATAGTTTGAAAAAATCACAATTGATTTTGTTCAAAGCACTCTCCTGTGTATCGAATCAGTTCAAGACCAAACACCCTAAGCATGTAATGGTAGTTTATATAACTGCAATATTGAGGAATTTGACGATGCAAAAGCTGAAATTATTTCATTTTTCATACAGATGGTTGTCATTTGACCATTCTTGTCTTAGGTTAGTACAACATCAAAACATGAACCATGTGTAACAAAATATGTTATTCCCTTAAATCTGAGTTCGTTGGTATATAATTTGATTTGAAAATTAGAGGAAGGTCACATTGGATAATTCATTATACGCTGTCGATATATTTGAACTTCAAGAAGCACAATAAGTAACTATTGAATGTCCGATATATTATTGAAATATATGGTCTACAAATGACTAAATGGATGTTTAAAAAATGGGGAAATATCGTGCTCATTTTTGTATCAACTTCAGATACTGAGTTTCAGTATATTCAGAGTACTTATGTACAGGATTATAATTTCTTTTTACAAATGTTTACAATACCATAAAGCTTAGTTATCAAATTTTCGTGGATTGATTGATTGTATATTGTTTAACGTCCCATTCAAGGATTTTTCACTCATATGGAGACGTCACCGTATGTCGGTGAAGGGCTTCAAGTTTGAACCTATACTCAGGGCCGTTGAGCAGTGAGAGTTGTTTATCGTGCCAACGTCCACCGTGACACGGTACCTACATTTTAAGGTCATATCCGAAAGACCCATGACTTCCACTTCTAATGCCGAGCGCTTGGCGAAGGGATAGTCAATACCTATGTTTACGTCTTAGGTTTGACGCGGCGCAGCGAACGAGAATCGAACCCGTGCCTTCCGATCACGTAACGAACACTCTATCCTAGGCTCCCGTGATCGGTCAAATTATCGTGGAGAATTATAATATGAATAATTGGTGATTTAGAATTTACTTTAAAATATTTGAAATTGCTTAGAATCCATACCCGATCTACACCACTTCTCAAATATAGTGAAATACAGTGCGTCTAAAGTTTCATCTTTACAGCGATTAATATCTTTGTGAGATATGATGATATGAACTTTGTAGAGTAAATACTTGACCTAGAATGCAGAGGTTTCATTTATTTATAAGGAATATTACTTATAAAGAATTGATATAAAAGTAAGGGTATATCGATCTCAATTTCCTTTACTGGAGTGTTAAAAGTTTTAAAGACTGATACTTATTTTGAAGAAATTGTATTTTTATTTGTCCCGTTAGCCTTTATCTTTTTAATAATTTAGAATTCTTAGATTTTTTCCCCTAAAAACACAGTACATTTTCGAATTAAGCTATTTCTTTTTAGATCAATCATATCCTTAAACTAGACCTCGAGTTATTCCCCGCCTTTTTTTTTTAAAAAAAAACTCATTTACACACATAAGAACAACGATTGTCTTTACAATATTTAAGATTTTTTTTTGTAACAAAGTCGCTTTCGCAGACGAAAAGTACATGTGTGGTTTGCATGATTCATTACGAAAAAAAGTCCTTAGGAAGGTTCAAAAACGTCATTTTTAAAGTGAGCTGCATGATGCATAAGTAGCAACACAAAATTCGACTGCATGTGGAAAAGGTAAATAAAACATTTATTAGTATTTAAAGAGAAAAAGTCATCCCAAACTACTTTTTCATTATGAATGTAAAGTACGAATCGTGACTTCAAAATTGTGACACACCAATTCAAATTTTACATTCTGATTTTTACGTGCACTTCGTTACATAGAAGCAATTTACAAACAGAACCTTTCAACTTTAATATCTGATTAGGCTGATTAGAGAACTCTTACTGCCGTTTGTCTTGATAAAGGTGTTATTATTTTGTCGTTAGATTCTTTGACTATGTAAATTTATCTCGTTATGGGAGTATACGGTGAAAGGAAATGTCGGAATACAATGAAAGAAGCGTGACACTTTGTAGATAAAAGATCTTCGACAATCAGAGGCGAATCCCAATATTTTCAACATCGCCATCTATTTTCTTTTGAATCCAATTTGTGTTTATTGTTTCAGATTTACTTTTACTCTAATGTTAAAAATAAATTCTCTACAGAGAGGGGATAATTTATGTTCTAGTGATATTCTTTCTTTGACTTGGTAATGTACAATAGTGTTTTCGATTTTATTTCAAATTATAAACATGATGAGTTCACTTAAGGATTTCCAAACCTAATAGGACCGAATCATCTACCCTTAATTCTCTATCAAATTTACATAATCTTATTAAATTAAAGCATTTTTAGTAGAAAAAGATTGTTCGAGAAAAGGTTTCCATAAAGTAATTAACTAAGCAGTAGTTAATTCACAAATATTGCAATGAAGTCTCCGATGAAACGCGATCTTGTTTTTAAATTCTAATAATAAGAATATCATTAAACACTGCGGTTGAAAGATGCATTGAAACTATAGAAATAGAATGACTGAATGCGAATGATAGAATGCGACTGGCAAGCTGGAATGTCAGGACAATGTGTCCTGGCCTATCTGAAGATCTCCAACAGATTGATGACTCCAGGAAAACGGCCATTATCAACCGAGAGCTGAGAAGGCTTAACATCGACATTGCTGCTTTACAGGAAACCAGACTTCCATCAAACGGTAGCCTAAGAGAGGAGGATTACACATTCTTCTGGCAAGGAAATGAACCAGGGGAATCACGTATACACGGTGTAGGATTCGCAGTGAGAAACTCTCTACTGTCATCAGTGGAACCGCCTCAAAAGGGTACACCTAGAATCCTGTCTCTTCGCCTCTCCACCTCCTCCGGGCATGTCAACATTCTGAGCATCTATGCTCCCACACTCAGCTCCACAGTGGAGACAAAGGATACATTCTATGAGGCACTTGAGACTACCATCAGAGATATCCCAATCACAGAACAAGTATATCTGCTTGGGGATTTTAACGCAAGAGTGGGAACTGACCAAGAAGCTTGGCCTCGCAACATCGGCCACTTTGGCGTTGGGAAACTAAACGATAACGGTCAGCGACTTCTTGAGATATGCTCCTACCACGACCTGTGCATAACCAACACCTTCTTTGCCACAAAGCCCAAACACAGAGTATCATGGCGTCATCCTAGATCAAACCATTGGCACCAACTGGACCTTGTGATCACCAGAAGACGCTTACTGAACTGTGTCCTGACAACCCGCAGCTACCATAGTGCGGACTGCGATACCGACCACTCACTTGTTGGCAGTAAGGTGCGACTCCAGCCAAAAAGGATTCATCGCTCC